GAGATCTAAAATAGATGGCCTTCATAAAAAGTGACGTGAAAGCTCTTCTCATACTGCCAAGAAATATTAAGTGAGAAAAATAAGATTCCAAACAGTGCGTCACCACTTGGTAAAAAGGAACGAATCTGCTGGAGGTGCGTAAGTATCTAAAGTGTATGGATCACCTCTGGAAGCTGAAGAAACTGGCAGGGCTGGGTGCCTCTTAGATGTCACGCTAGGCGGCAGGGATCGGTGGGGGAGAAGAGTGGGAGACAGAGATGTACTTATCAGCCAGCCTTTTGTGCCTTTCAAATATTTTCAAAATGCATTACCTTATTTTTTAAAAACAAAATTCAAATTAAAAATATTAAAAATTTGTGTGTTTGTTTTTGAGACAGGGTCTTGCTATGAAGCCAGGCTGGCCTACAACTTCTGATTCTTCTGCCTCAGGCTTCTGAGTGCTGGGATTACAGGCATGTACCACCATCATGGTTAATTTTTTTTAATTTAAATAAAAACAATTTAAAATCAAAATAGTCTTTAGGCAATGAAGCAAACACACTTGTTAAACTGGCTAACTGTGTCCCTGGCACACATCAGATGCTCAATTTGTTGAACTTAATGAACCTCTGCTTAAAGACAACAAAAGAAAATCAAAGCCAGGCAAACCCCAGGGCATCGGTGTGCAAATTCTCCAATCAACTCTCTACCTGTCTGACTTAACTATTGCAAAAGATCAGAGAATGGGTCCATAGGTAACAAGCCCTTTATCCAGCTGAACAAAGGACACACGTCATGGGTAATGGCAGAGCTCCTCACCTGCCCACATCATCCATTTTGTAAACAGAAAACGCTTGACCCCCGACATGATGCCCTGGAACCAAGATGACAAAAACAAATCTGCAGATGTTAAAAGGATCCTTAAAGGAAATAATGCTAACACTGACATGTGATCAAACACAGAATGGAACCACAGGGGTCAAAGTACACTGTACATAGCTAACCTTATCAAAATGAAATGCATGTACTATTAATGTATACTAATAAAGAAGAAAAAGAAAAAAGGAAAAATGGCCTTAATCACCAGTGTGGTAGTGCAGGCCTGTAATCCCAGTGCTCGATCCCCTTAGGCAGGAGGATTGTCCAAAGCCGGCCTGGCTATCTAATGAGAGCATATCTCAAACAAGCGAACAAATTACCATGATTGTGCTCAGGCCAAATGCTGGACCACGCAAAGCTGTGTAATATCCTAACAGCAGACCACCTCAAGTGGCACCCTGGTTCCAGTGGCTGTTCCTGGAGACAGTTTAGTCCCAGATGAAACAGGCAGACTTAAAACACCGTATGCAGTAGGTTTTCTGTTTCCTATCTACATCACAAGTGTCCTTTTGATAGTTGTATATTGTGTATTTATAACACACACACAGCCGCCAGGCAGCAGTGGCTCCTGCCTATAATCCCAGCTACTCAGGAGGCAGAGTTCAGGAGGATCATGGTTTGAAGCCAGCCTGGGCAAATATGGGCAAATAGTTTTGAGAGACCCCATCTCAGGGAAGAAAAAAAAAAATCACAAAAAAGGGCTGGTGGAGTTGTTCAAGAGATAGAGTGCCTGCCTAGCAAGCATAAGACCCTGAGTTCAAACCCCAGAACTAAAAACAAACAAACAAAAACACCTTGTGCCCCACCCTTCAACTGGTCACGGAGGGTTCAACACATACCACCCCCAATAAAAGTTGGAATACTGATTCTGCCACATGAAGCCCATTATGTTGGAAGGATCTCTCTGCCAGGGCTTCTCACGGAGTCGGATTTTAAGCAAAAATAAGACTGATTCCCTTTTGTCCACAAGATCCAGTGCTCTGTGCAGGCGACTGGGCCAGGGAGGTGGGAACCACTGAGCTCTGTGGGCCTTGCCAGATATTCCCAGAAGAAAGGGGTAAGTGGACAGAGCTGAGAATAACAGTGACTAAAAAGCCCTCCCACCACAAAGTCACAAGGAAAGAGCAAGTGAGAGAGAAAGAGGCCCATGTTCATACACAAGCAAAGAAACGAAAAGTACTGCTCTCAACAGAGCAGGGTAGAATAGCCTAAACAAAAACTTCAAACTCACAGTCAACATCTTAAGAACATGACAAAAGAAAGCTCCAGTCAATGAAGGCTGATTATTTTTGATTCAATCGAGAAAACACCCAAACAGAGAAGGGAAAACAAAAGGGGCCTGGGCTCCTGCAAAAAAAAATAAAATAAAATAAGGGTGACAAGCCAAGCCAGGTGTGGTGGCTTACGCCTATAATGCTAGCTACTTGGGAGGCTGAGATTGGGAGGATCAAGGTTCAAGGTTGACTCAGGCAAATAGTTTGAGAGACCTCATCTCCAAAACAACCAGAGCAAAATGGACTGGAGGTGTGGCTCAAGTGTGAAACCCTGAGTTCAAACCCCAGTCCGACCAAAAAATGAAAGTAAAAATAAAAAAAAGTGACAGGCCTCTTCTCATCAGAAGGAAAGTGGCTCGTAATCTGACTGGCGGCTGTTATCAGATCCATGCAAGAGACAGGGGACGTGAAAGTGAAAGGAGAAAGGGAAGAATGGGCACTTCTCCTGCTACAAGGAGAGGGAGGCTCTCCTCCTTGTCTTTGCCGTGTGGTTTATCTCAGGCTCTGGAAAAGAATGAGGGAAAACGCAGATAAAGCAGTGAAGGAGCTAGATTACCAGCAAGGATCAGTGACACATTTGTGTCCCTGCCCCACCCGGTGGGCACTATGTCTGCTCCCCTACTCCTGTGACTAAGGATCTTGCTTAAGTGCATCTGACACACGATCCCCGAACTTCTGAGAAGCACTCATGAAATCTTAATCTAAAAACGGTCATCCATTTATTATCAGGATGCATCACACTGACAACTGGGGAGGAAGGCCACACAGAGGGGCTACATATTGGAGGCCGGCGTCCTCAGGGGCTTGGTTTACTGTTTGATTCTCTTCCTCCCTCCCTTTAAAGATAATAAAAAAGATTTGGTGTCTGAGAAGAGCGTAATTACAAGGCGAAAAGAAACAGGGAGACTGAATTATCTGATCCAATAAAAGAAAAATAGGTAAGAAAGAATAGTGACTTGGAAACCACTGCGGATGTTAGTGTTAAAGTGAAATATGTTTAATTATTTGGGAGTGGAACTAGCTCCTGATGGAAAATACTGGGTGGTAGAGAGAAAGACAAGCTATATAAAAAGGCAACAAAACATTCTATTTAGCAAATCTATGGTGGTTACGGGGTGGCGGGCCCTGATCTAAAGACTTCCAACAGAATAATTCTCAAAACAATCTTCTAACCAAAGTGCCAGTATCCCTTTTGTTTTACAGGGGAGGAAAAAGGCACAGATAGGTTAAGTGACTTGCCCAAAGTTACACAGCTAGTAACAAGCAGCACTAAGATTCAAACCCAGGCACTCAGGTACCAAATTTGGTGCTCCTATCCTCTGGGCTCATCTACAACTTAGACACCGAGAATAAGACAGCTAGTCTGGGAGTAAGATACAAGTCACACACAGGCTGGATATGGGATCAAAGATCAGCCCTTAGTCATGGCTCTGTAATACCAGCCAGCCTTGTGACCACCTGAGGCCTGTTTTCTTGTCTGCACATTGAGGAGACTGAATTAGGTAAGCTCCATCTACAGTGTCTTTAGCTTTCAAATGCCATGATCAACAGCATATGGACTGGTCTGCTTTCTGCTGAGCTATTCAAAGGTCAATTCATCCTTAAATATGCAGCAAATTCTGCTAAAATTATTTCTCTGCTCCCTGACCTTCAGAGTATCATGTCCTCAGTCTTCAGGCAAATAACAGAAGATAGTGAAGGCAGAAAATAGATGGTTTCTCTTTTGCACCCTGCTTAATGTGGTTGCGACCAAATGGCCCTTGAAAGACTCTGCGCACAGATGTTGGCTCTGCCATATTTGCAATCTCTCCAGGTCCCTCTCCTGAGCCTGTTGTTGGACTCTGTCTGTGAACTTGGTTACTGGAATGACAAGCTGGATGGAGCAACTGAAAACACTAAATCTATCGTAGTTCAAATTAAGGAGTTTGATAGGGGTGGAAAAAACCGTTTGGTTTATTTGTCTTTCGGTATTTAATCCCTTCTCTTTGCTCACACCCTCACTTTCAAGCTGAAATCTCAATATACATTATGAGTGAATTCATCACCACTTGGAACCTAGTGGACCCCCAGTAGTACCCTAGTCTTCTCAATCTAGGAATTAACTGTCACCCAGAGCGCATCTGTGGGTGGACAAGAGCCTTGCAGATGGACCGTGCAGACCTCCCTTAGGAGTCCTTCCTAAGCATCCCTGACAGGTGGCTGTCATCTGGCCTCTGCCTGGACACTTCCAAGGTCGAGTCTCTGGCTGCGAGGCCTGACAGGCAGCCTCTGGCACTGCTGGACAGCTCTCTCTATGGGGGAAAGCCCAACGAAGCGCCTAGAACGGTGCCGGGAGAGTCCAGTAAGTCCCCTCCAAGTGGGTCAAAAACTGCCTCCTTAGAACTTGAACCCACTGGTCCAGGCTGCGCCGGTGGACCCCAAAGCGCAGAGGCCCATCAACTATCCGGGACTGTAATCAGGCCCCGGGGCTTTCTCCTAGGTTTAGATCCTGAACCTTCTTCCCCAAACCCGGACCTGGAGGCTCCTCCCCAGACCCCAGAAGCCTCAAGGTGGAGGGCTGGGGAGGAGGATGGCAGCCAGGAGGCCGAGGTCGGGGCTGTCCCTAAACTCGGTTCCTCTAGCCCAGAGGACAAAGGACCTTCAGGAAGGCGTACCCCACGCGGTCCGGGTTACCTCCGCCACTGGGAGCGTTGGCCCTGGGGACCCCCGGCCGAGCCAGGTGACACCCCAAGGAGCACCGAGGAGCCGGAGCGCGCAGGTTGCGGCGCGACGGGCCAAGCCACGCCGGGGACCGCGAGACTCGAGGTTTTGGCCCGACCGCTCCAGGGCGCGACCCCGGCTCCGCGGAGCTCGCTCAGCCGTCTTTACCTGTGCGTGGCTGACTACGGCGCCCCAGGTCGCCCCGAGTCCGCTTCCCACAGCTCCGCAGCTGCCGGCTGCGCTCATGGAAATGCAGCCGGAACCCCTGGCCAGGGCAGCTCCCGCCGCTGCCGGCCCCGCCCAGGCAACTGCCGCCACGCCCCTGACGACCGCCTCTGCCACGCCCCTAACCTCTGAGACCCGACTGTCCATTGGGTAATTCATCCGCTACTCTACTTGTTCGGCGCGCTCGTCGCACCTAGTTGGCAGCCCATTGGTCAACGGAACTGCTCCTCAGAATGGGAGGAACCTTAGCGAAGAGCTCTTTGGCAATTGGTTACCTTTGACGTCTTTGGCCTGTGGGCCAAGACGCTATTGGGTAAAACCCACCCTGAGTGGGCGGGGTAAATGGAGCGGGGCCGGAGTGTAGGTCGTGTTTGATGTTGAGGTTGGCGTGGGGAAGAAAAGTGGACTATTGTGACCACAAGCTGGTTTGTGGGGCTGGGTAAGGTCAGGTGTCTTCCGGGGATGGGCGGAGGAAGCTCGGCTGCGGGGTTCTGGTGGGCCCAGGCCGACCGACTGACTCACCTGTAGCCCAGGACCAGGGGTCGAAATGTGGGGTCAGAATTTGGGAGAGAGGAGGGAAAGTAAGTCGCCCAGCCCGAAGGAGATGAGAGGGTGTGGGGGCGGAGGCCTCTGGCCCCTTCCAGCTAGGGAAGACGGATGGGGACCTGCGGGACCTCACAGACCTTATTGTCCCACTGGCCTTTCAGCCCTTAGCCAACCCTCGTCATTGAAGGCAATGTGGAACAATAGAGCCTTTGAAGTCATCTGGAATTGAGACCCCCCCACCCCCCGCAAGTCATTTTGCCTTTCCTCATGCACCCCGATTTCTTCATTTGGCAACTCTGGTATACATTAACAGCGCCTGGCATGCAGTCGGCATTCTTCAAGACTGGCTCTTCACCCACTCACCCTGTGCAGCTGTGGAACTGGGCCCGGTTCTAAACTTCTGTGAGCCTGAGACGCACTTGCAATGCGTGTGCTTTACTACAAGTAGAATACTTGAGTGTCCTGAAAGGCAGCTCCTATAGGAGGCCCGGACAGGGACAACCCAGGCACAGTGGGCTGCAAGAGAGCCATGAGGAAGGAAGTGACATTTGAAGCAGTGCCATGTTTTCTGCGACACATTGCAGGATTGTGACAAGGGAAAATGGGCCTGCTGGAGGAGTATGACCAAATAACATCCTTTGGAGGCTGGTCAGTGCTGGACCATAAATCAATGCATGAAATACAGCTGTTAGACACACCTAAGCCCCAGACCTTTTATTTTTGCCCATGAAAGGAGACACACCCAGAGTACATCAGAGTGAAGGAGGCCTTTGTAGTTTTTATTCAGCGGCCATTTTGTCTTAAGTGTGTCTTGTCTCTAGCCAGGTGCCTGGTGGCTCATACCTGAAATCCTAGCTACTCGGGAGTCTGAGATTGGGAGGATTGGAGGTTCAAGACCATCTGGGGCAAAAATTTCACAAGACCCCATCTCAACCAATAACTGGGCATGGTGGCAAGCACCTGTCATCCCAGCTACTTGGCAGGCAGGGATCAGGAGAATTGTAGTTTCATGCCAGAGAAGTTTGTAAGCAAGTTTCTAGGCAAAAAAATTTGTGAGACCCCATCTCAATGGAAAAAAGCTGAGCATGGTGGTGCATGCCTGTCTGTTTTTCCAGTGACAATCGGAGCATAAAAATAGGAGGGTCAAAGTCCAGACCAGCCCAGGCGAAAAGCAAGACCTCATCTCCAAAATAACCAGAGCAAAAAGGGTTGGAGGTGTGGCTCAAGCAGTAGAGCACCTGCCTAGCAAGCATGGAGCTTTGAGTTCAAACCCCAGTCCCATGAAAAAAAAAAGTTTTATGTCTATGTTTATTTATCTCTGTATTCTCTTTCATCTTAGGAAATAAAACCCAGGTTTTGGTAGCAAAGGATTTTAGTGAGCCCTCACCCCACAGTCCTGACTCTATGTTAGAACAGTTAAGACTTCCAGAAAAAAGCCACTGTACACATATATCAAACATCATGTTCACGCCTGTAATCCCAGCTACTCAGGAGGCAGAGATCAGGAGGATCTCGGTTCAAAGCCAGACCAGGCAAATAGTTCACAAGACTCTATCTCAAAAAAAAAAAATCACACAAAAGGGCTGGTGGAGTAGCTCAAAGTGTAGACCCTGAATTCAAACCCCAGTGCCAAGAAAAAAATTTAAAAACCATTATGTTGTATACCACACATAATTTTTATTGTCAATTTAAAATAAATTTTTAAAATAACTTAAAAAGTAGATTTGTTGCCAGATGGGGTGTTTTGTGTGTGTGTGCGAATATGTACATGCTTGGTTCTGATCCACAATTTCTGATGCTTCTCTTTAAATAGAGCTTTTTGGTGGCCGTACACATGGCTATGCACGTGCCAGGGAACCGGGCCCACCCCAGTGCAGGTTTATTCCTGCCTGCGTTTGCTGAGACTGCATTGTGTTCTCCAGCCCTGGAAAGCATGAAATGGCTCCTGAGACCCGAGCAGGGAGCCCCAGCTTGACTCAGAGCCACACCTAGCAGCTGTTAGGAGTGAACTGCAGATGGGCTCCCTGTTGTGCAAATGGATTTTCCCTCCCATCTTGGGAACAGGAGTTCAGCCAAGAGTTCTAGAAGTGACATCTCAAACACAGTTCAGGAATCTCAAACACAGGTGTGTCGCAGAGGTGGGAGAGGGAAAGGATGGGTACCTTCTCTGCCACTGCAGGGCTTCCAACAGCACACAGACCGGTTTCTCATTGTCTCTGGTTTCCCTTTCCTTCCCTCTGTTGTGGTGTTTGCCAGATTCTGTTTAATCATATTAATTCATTTACAAAGCATTTCTGTGGGAAGCGATTTGGGAGACAGAACGGTCCTATTTTTGCCTTCATGTTGGTAGCTTACAGGAATTAAGGTTTTGGTGAGTCTGGGTTTGGGACAAGTAGGCATTGGTACATGCCTATGAAGTAAATTTCCTGAGGCATGAGAGTGCCTTGTCATAAAGGGAGCAGGGACAGGACAAGCACACACATTCTGGGCTGGCTAAAGCTGCAGGACTTCATTAAAGTAGAGTTGCTTCTGACTCAGCCAGGGCTTCTCTGCAGAATTGCTCACCTGAGAAAGTCCCCATGGTACTCTGGGAGACAGGAGGGAGCCGTGGTCAGGGCAGATAATGGGCTCTGTGTGTTCTCTTCTGGCAAAACCAGCAATTTACTTGGCTTGTGAATTATTCTGTACCCTCAGGGAATGGTGGAGAGCAAACAGCTTTGGAACCCTGGCTGCTGGGGCTTGCGTCTGTGCCTATTCTCCTTAGTCCTTTGGCCTTGAGCCAGTTTAGTACCTCTCTGTGGCAGATGATGGTAATGTCTTCCCTCCTGGAGTCCTGTGAGTGGCCAAGGAGCTAACAGATGTAATGAGCTAGTAGACACATCAAACAGTGCCTGACCTACACTTAGTTCTTAATAAATGCCTGCCATAGTTATCAGAGGAGCCCATTTAAATATATACATATGTACGTTTATTTTATAATATACATATAAAACTTTTTTTTTAGAACAATTTTAGGTTTACAAGAAAATCCAGAGGGAAGCTGGGTGTGGTGGTGCACACCTGTATCCCAGCACTGGGGAGGCAGAAGCAAGAGAATCTTGAGTTCAAGGTGAGGCTGGGCTGCATAGACCTTGTCTAGAAAGGGAAAGAGAAAGAGAGAAGGAGGGAGGAAGGGAGGGAGGGAAGGAAGGAATTTGGAAGGGAGGGAGGAAAGAAGGAAAGAAGGGAGGGAGGGAGGGGGGAAAGAAGGAAGGGAGGAAGAGATGGAGAGAGAGAGCAAGGGAGGTGGGGAAGGAGAGGGCACAGGGTCCCTGTAAACACACACACTGCCCCAACATATGTGGATTATTTTGTTACCAGCAAAATCCACTACCTGGTGAGGCAAACTTTCCCTTTAGATTATCCTTACCAAGGAGGGCTCAGAGGATTGAACTGAGGTTTTGAGATTAGCCCTCATCAACATAATCCCTGCAAGGGACACAGGGAAGAATGCAGCTGAGACAGTGATGTTGAACACTGCAGCCTGGATGCTCACCCTGGATCCCCTGGTGGCCTGACATGATTCAGGCTGAGGAATCCAGTATTGTCACTTTATGGTCACACCCAGTCCTGCTGTAGGCCATGTGGGCAGTGGCTTCAGAATGTCCTGTGCTTAGGTGTTCTGGCCAGCTGCCATTGATAATGGAGATGAAGTGTGTGTAGAAGTTCTGAATCCCTGTGTGCAGGAGTTCCTGAGGACAAACCATAATGAAATTCAAGGACGTGGTTCCTTTTGTTACTGGAAAATGCATCCAACTGGGTCAGTCAAACCATGATGAAAAACAGCCTTCTCTGTGCCTTGGCTGCTTCCTGAAACCTCTACGTGAAGTTGTCTGTAATAAAATCAGGAAATGAACAGTCTTGGAAAAATTTTAATTGTGCCCCCTGATGGGGTGACTCTCAAATGGCCCCAATTTGGATGAATAATTTTATGGTAATTGTTATACCTACATACATAACGAAAATGCTTGTGAAATACGCGCGTGCGCGCGCACACACACACACACACACACACACACACACACACACACGGAAAGCTGTTCCTGGCTTTAATTAGACGTACAGAGCGTCAGACAGGTAGTTGGCCAAAAGTGACTTCTCAGTCACCATTCATTCCTCTTCCTGACATCATCCTTAATTACAGCAATAAAAATCAAGTTCTTCATGCTATTAATTGCGAAGGAGTCAATAAAACTCATGTATCAAACACACCCATCACAAACTCCTACATAAATTCATATTGCTGAGCTATTTTTAAAGCAGTTTATATCCTTTGACAGACCCTTATATATTTGTTACCATATATTTAAATTAGCAAAAACAGTGAATATCTTTACTGAGCAAGACATGGTTATTAGAGAGACAGACAGACTCATTTAGCAAAGTCCCTTTGTAGGAGGGAACACAGGACAAAGGTGAAACACGAAGAGATAGCTCAAAGGCATGGGCAGTAGACAGTAATGAGCAA